CGATTACGTTTTGGTTATTGTGTAAGGGATGTTAATCAAATTTTTATTACGCTTCCGCATTTGAGATTTTGAATACATACATTTCATTTAAATTTCCGGTGTCGTTACAGGAGCAATAAATATAACAATTAGGTTTTTTATAAATAAAATAAAATATAGTTATAGTCAAATGATTGATTTATATCGTAATTTTGTTCTTTTAAAACTCAAATTTTTTAAAAGAAAATTTATTTCCTTATTCAGTGGATTTTTTTTAATTTTCAAAATACTATATATTGTTTCTATTAACGCTTTTGCTAATATTTTGTTTTCTGTGATATTTTTATAATTATAATTTGGTTATTGGAATTTAGATTTTTTTTTAAAATAAGATTTTATACTCTTATTTCCACATGAATAGCTAGGAAACTCTTAGTGGATAAGAGTGAAGTAAATTGATCTCACAAAATTTTAGTTAAAAAAAAAAAATAGAAGAACAAAAATTACTCCACGTGCAATATTTCAATAAATATAAATTTTCCTTTTATACTTCTGGCAATTTGAATTCCATTGGTTAAATTAAGCGGAGTTACCCATAAAATTAATAATATTTAATAAATGCAATTTCTATTTTTTAATAAAATAAATAGTGATGAAAGCAACCGCATGGACTTTACTAATAAATTTTTAAAAATATTTATTTTTTGTATTATATAATTCCGCCTAATAAGATGGTTTTGCTTTGACTGGTTCCTAACAATGTATATATACACATTATTTTAAAAAAATTAAGAACAATATATTTAAATAGCCAAAATACACTAAATTATCAGAAAGAAAAATACATACAAACAAGATTCGGACCGCCCAAAATAAAACTATAATATTATTTTTTTATAAAAACGCACGTTTGGAAAAAAAGAATTACAAAAGAGAAAAGTCAAAGTTGGACTACAAACGTAGAAGCTTTGTGTTAGAGATGTCACAGTCTATGACTGCCAACGTGGCGAATCCAACGATCATCACGTGTCACTAAAACAGAGTCCCGTGAACCTGGAATCACCAACCTGGATCACTCTCATAATTTCGGGAAACCCAGACAGAATTCTGGATCATTCAGGGCCACAATTAGATCGTGCGTTAATCTAACGGTTGATGAAAGGGATCGTACAGTACGGATTGATTTGATGCTGCACTGGATCATCTCTGAATAAACCACCACACGCCAGCGCACTTTCTGGAGGTCGGATCCAGTGCACTCGTTCGCACGGGAATATAAACTAAAGGTAATCGACGGTCACTAAAAGTTTCTGCTCTCCACGTAACGGTGATATTGCACGAGAGTAAACCATAAACTAC